GGCAGGGCCGATTGCACCAGGGCCTTTAAAGCGCGTTCACTCATAAACCATGCTCCTTGCGCCGCGCGTGCCTGAAGGTGGATTGTCCGTCAGGTTGCATGGTGGGAAGGGCTCGCGTGCTGTAGCAGCCGGTCCAAGCTCTGCGTATTGATGGGTGCCATTTTTTGACGAGCCAAGGCATGTTTTGTGGTCATGCCTTGCCATCAGTCTCTGAAATTCAGTGAAACTGTAAACACTCCTTACTTGCCCCATGGCAATCAACTTTAGTGACACATTTTGAGAGAGAGAGAGGCAATTTTATGGAACTGTAGACTCTACTCATGATCACAGTCTTGTTTAGACTGTTTCCATTGTAACCAATGCTGTTTATTAATAATTGTTCGGTGCAGTGGCGAGATGTTAACTCCCTTGCCTGGTATGAAGGAGGTCGTGGGTTCGATCCCGACGCATGCTGTATATTTGGAGTTTGCGTGTCTCTCCCCGTGGTCGTGTGGATTCTTCCTCGGGTTCTCCGGTTTTCCCATCCACATTTAGAATCAACGTCACGCGTTTACAGTATTTGGCTGCTATAAATGTCCACGTAATAAGCCACTTCGTTCAGCTTTCATTTGTGGCCAGGTCGCTGCTGATAAAATACAAATAGTTCTATGGTTTAGTTTAATTCCTGAGCCGCTGTGAATTAAAATCGTTACACCGTGACGAGTTTTCGGGTAGTGATAAGTGTTGTCCACGTTTTGTCGACGTGTTGTTCGGTACGGTGTCCGGCGTTATGCTGCATGTGCTGAGAGTTTCTTCTGAAGAATAGATACCACGGAGCTGTGCAGTGGAACATGTTACATTATATTCCAGCGACTAACCGCATATTCTTGCAATTCAAATACAGATGCCGCATGTCTTTGCAGTTGGAGTGGAACAGGATTCCTGCGTTACCATGGGGAGACCTCTTAAGCTTTTTTGGCAGCGATTTGCGTGATGCTTTATGTTGCTCTAGGTGGAGCTACAGCCAGCGTTAAGAGTGATGATGATTTTTATTATATCACTTTCCTTGGCGCTGCTAAGTGCGGTTCCTCTCACATGGTGGGCAATGGAATTGGCCGACGTTGAAAGGCAGTCATCGATTCTGAAAGCCCTCATTTGGGGTCTCTCCCATTCGGCAAAATCCCCCCCCCCCCCATTATGGTTTGTCTGGCTTGTATGTACTTTCTTCTGTGGCCCTTGCCACGAGAATGTGGAATTGCCGCCCCTTTATCTGGCCGCCGGTGCTGACGAGAACCAGTTTGTCGTGTGAGCAAGGAGACAGCTGTGACTTGGCAGTGGCACATTTCTTCCGACGTTGCTGGGGGAGGGGGGGGGGGGAAATGTGTCACTCGTAAATGTGAGATTTTGCTTTAGTAAAGATAATATTGTGAATTATCTTTACTGCAGCAGGCCAGTTGGTTCTGTAATGCAGTGATACACAATTCCACACCTCCGAATAGCGCAGTTGGCTACAGTGAGGGAAAAAGTATTTGATCCCCTGCTCATTTTGTACGTTTGCCCACTGACAAAGAAATGATCAGTCTATAATTTTAATGGTAGGTTTATTTGAACAGTGAGAGACAGAATAACAACAACAAAATCCAGAAAAACGCATGTCAAAAATGTTATAAATTGATTTGCATTTTAATGAGGGAAATAAGTATTTGACCCCCTCTCAATCAGAAAGATTTATGGCTCCCAGGTGTCTTTTATACAGGTAACAAGCTGAGATTAGGAGCACACTCTTAAAGGGAGTGCTCCTAATCTCAGCTTGTTACCTGTAAAAGGCACCTGTCAACAGAAGCAATCAATCAGATTCCAAACTCTCCACCATGGCCAAGACCAAAGAGCTCTCCAAGGATGTCAGGGACAAGATTGTAGACCTACACAAGGCTGGAATGGGCTACAAGACCATTGTCAAGCAGCTTTGTGAGAAGGTGACCAAAGTTGGTGTGATTATTCGCAAATGGAAGAAACACAAAATAACTTTTAATCTATTATGAGACCTCCTTTGCCAGTAACAAGATATAGAATAGGTTCTTCCCTTTTAACTGGCACAAAAACTGATACCTTTATTCAAGGCATCATGTTTGCAATAACCACAACACAAGCTGTCAAAATGCAAACAAAAAAGACAACTCTGATAATAATATGCACTGTCCTTGAATTTGATTGGTCCACACCCGAGACGGCTTTTCTTAGAGCCTAGGCTCCATTGGTGTTGGACCAGAAGACGCCAAAAGGCGTACAACTCAAAAACAGCGCACTATCAGAGTATTGAGGGCTCGGGGTGAGCACTTACATTATGAGACCTCCTTTGCCAGTAACAAGATATAGGAATAGGTTCTACCCTTTTTACTGGCACAAAAACCGACACCTTTATTCAAGGCATCATGTTTGCAATAACCACAACAAGCAGTCAAAATGCAAACAAAAAAGACAACTGATAATAATATGCACTGTCCTTGAATTTGATTGGACCACACCCGAGACGGCTTTTCTTAGAGCCTAGTCTCCATTGGTGTTGGACCAGAAGACGCCAAAAGGCGTACAACTCAAAAACAGCGCTCTATCAAAGTATTGAGGGCTCGGGGTGAGCACTTACATTATGAGACCTTCTTTGCCAGTAACAAGATATAGGAATAGGTTCTACCCTTTTAACTGATAGTGTGCTGTTTTTGAGTTGTACGCCTTTTGGCGTCTTCTGGTCCAACACCAATGGAGACTAGGCTCTAAGAAAAGCCGTGTCGGGTGTGGACCAATCAAATTCAAGGACAGTGCATATTATTATCAGAGTTGTCTTTTTTGTTTGCATTTTGACTGCTTGTGTTGTGGTTATTGCAAACATGATGCCTTGAATAAAGGTGTCAGTTTTTGTGCCAGTTAAAAGGGTAGAACCTATTCCTATAACTTTCAATCTCACTCGGCCTGGGGCTCCATGCAAGATCTCACCTTGTGGAGTTGCAATGATCATGAGAACGGTGAGGAATCTGCCCAGAACTACACGGGAGGATCTTTTCAATGATCTCAAAGCAGCTGGAACCTTAGTCACCAAGAAAATAACACACTACGCCGTGAAGGACTGAAATCCTGCAGCGCCCGCAAGGTCCCCCTGCTCAAGAAAGCACATATACATGCCCATCTGAAGTTTGCCAATGAACATCTGAATGATTCAGAGGACAACTGGGTGAAAGTGTTGTGGTCAGATGAGACCAAAATGGAGCTCTTCGGCATCAACTCAACTCGCCGTGTTTGGAGGAGGAGGAATGCTGCCTATGACCCCAAGAACACCATCCCCACCGCCAAACATGGAGGTGGAAATATTATGCTTTGGGGGTGTTTTTCTGCTAAGGGGACAGGACAACTTCACCGCATCAAAGGGACGATGGACGGGGCCATGTACCGTCAAATATTGGGTGAGAACCTCCTTCCCTCAGCCAGGGCATTGAAAATGGGTCGTGGATGGGTATTCCAGCATGACAATGACCCAAAACACACGGCCAAGGCAACAAAGGAGTGGCTCAAGAAGAAGCACATTAAGGTCCTGGAGTGGCCTAGCTAGTCTCCAGACCTTAACCCCATAGAAAATCTGTGGAGGGAGCTGAAGGTTCGAGTTGACATGCGTTTTTCTGGATTTTGTTGTTATTCTGTCTCTCACTGTTCAAATAAACCTACCATTAAAATTATAGACTGATCATTTCGTTGTCAGTGGGCAAACGTACAAAATCAGCAGGGGATCAAATACTGTTTTTTCCCTCACTACGTACGGTGCGACAGAAGTTATACATCCATACAGTGTAAACCTGAATATACTGCAAAAGGGGAGAACTGCACGTGACTTAGTTGTTTTGAGTGGTGCGTAATTACTCAACTCACAAAAACCAGGACTTTTAATGGACTGAGGGGTGGGGTGGGGGGTAGACTTACAATTGTACCAGGAGATCCGCCGTAAACACGAGGAAGATCTTGGGACAACCAGGACCGGTGGCAAACAAAGCTCTCGACGACTTCACTTTGTTGACCGCTGACTCTGGTGGCGGCGTAGCCGTCGAGTGTGCAGGCTGTACAACTGCACCGGGACCCACGGGCGGGAAGGGACCCGGGCGCCGGGTTACAAGAGGGCACACATTGGACACGGGGTGGGGGGGCAGTGGTAGTGGGGGGTGGGCTAATTTAATTCCTTGCACGAGGGCCCATTCCAACCACGCCACGCCACTGGCTAAATCCAAGGGTGCGGGGGGCTCGGGCGGCTCTGGCGTGTGGAGACCATGGCCGCTGTTGCTGCAGGGAGGTCCACAAGGGTGTGCGCTGTGTGCTGCGTCTAACGTCCAGCGAACGACGGATTCGGTTGGCTCTGTGAGCGTTCCACGGGTGTGCTTGGTTTTAAGGCGTGCGCAGCCTCCTGTTTGCTGCTCACTGAAGCTCTTGGAATCTGACGAGCGTGTGTGTGCGTGTGCACGTGCGTTTGTGTCTTTGTGTGTGTGTGTAAGGGTTCACGTGTGTGTCCATGGGAACCGGTGGCCTCGTGGTTATTGCACTGCCCTATGAACACGGCCGCTTGAGTTCAATTCCCGGATGCGGCTAACATCAGTGATGAGTGTGACATTTGAACCGGCCCTGGGTCCTCCCATCGTCCACTCTGCCTTTAATGAGTAACACCTGGTGCACCACGTAAAACATCAGCGCTGTGGAGACAACGGCGACGAGGCATGGTGCTGGCCACACTACTGGGCGGGGGTCGGGGTGCATCTTCACCTCGTGTGTATTGTGTGCAGCGCACACAAAATGCTCGCCACGTGTGGCTCCGCATTTCTGTTGCGAGTGGACGGTGGTCGTTGACGCGATGCCGCGTGCGTCCCCACGCCCGGCCGGCCCATTCCGAGGGTCGCGGGATGGGGTGGCCATTCTTGTTACGTCCGTCAAATTAAAACATTTCTATGTCCCCCCCCCCCCTTCTCCCTCTTTTTCATCGGCGAGCACAGGCGGCTGCACAATCGGCGTGACCTTCCCCGCCTGCGGATTCCACCAGGATCCCGAGGATGACTTTGATTGGGAAGAGGTTCCCACCCACGAGATGGACTCCATTCCTGGTCTGGAGGCCCCGGCAGGTGAGGGGTGGGGGCCATTGCGTCACGGTCCCATTGTGTCACCGTGCCATTGTGTCACGGTGCCATTGTGTCACGGTCCCATTGTGTCACGGTGACATTGTGTCACGGTGCCATTGTGTCACGGTGCCATTGCGTCACGGTGTCATTGCAGCCACTCAGGCCAGTGACACTGGGCTAACAGAGCAATTCCTTTGCTTTGCTCTGTTTGTCTCTCGGAGGTGGCAGCCCCACGCTGCCGCAGTGCAATGGTCAGCAAGCTGGACTGGAAATCAGATCCTCTCTCTCGGCGCGGCAGTTGACAGGATTGTGCGAGTATCTTGCATCTCCCCGCCTCTGTGAACCCAGCAGTATAGGTGGATACACCACAGTTAGCCGATCGGCAAGGCGCGGGCAGTGGGGTAAAGTGTGGGTACACCCACCTCTTCCAAGACATCAGAGCAGTGTGGGAGAGTAGGCCAAGTACCCTCTGGAGGGGCTCTCCTGAGTTGTTTCAGTAAAGGCCCTTCCATCAGCAGGAACGTGAACATGTAATTACTTAGTCACAAACAATTCTGGAACCGTTACATTTGCAAGCCATTTAAAAATAAACAAACGACGTCCACACAGGGAGATGGAATTCACATTCTTCAGGCTCCTCCACTAACAGATGGGCCATTTATGCAAATTCTCATACTTTGGCTCATGGCACAATTAATGTTGTGCCATGAGCCAAAGTTGTTTTAGCGATGCGGAATGTATGCAGTGGTGTTTTATCGATGTAGAATGGATGCAGTGGTGTTTTCGCGATGTAGAATGGATGCAGTGGTGTTTTAGCGATGTAGAATGGATGCAGTGGTGTTTTAGCGATGTGGAATGGATGCAGTGGTGTTTTAGCGATGTGGAATGGGTACAGTGGTATAAAATAATCCATTTAAAACACACAATAGAACAATTGGTTGGTGCCCAAAATGTTTAACGACAATATGTAAATATACAAATACATCCACGCTGCATTCAACAGATTGGCGATGTTTGTAAGCGCGCCGTGGGCCGTGGCTTCCCACGGGCAATGCCTAGGCGAGGCTCGTTGAGGAGGCCCCTGATCAGGTAAAGGTTATTAACTTGGTACCGCAGGGTGCTTGATTTACCGATGAAAAGCAGTTCAATTATGAGTGGTGGCAGGCCCAGGGATTGAGAGCCCTTGGCACGTTTTCTCCGATCGCCACCGCTCAATAGGGTCGCCACTTCCTGAGCTGTACAAACTAAAAATTACGGGACTTATCGTGGAAAAAACAGGAAGAATAACATCTCAACGACATGAACGTGCTTTGTCTTGAGCGGTGCGCTTTGAGGCAACTGACAAACCTATCGTGGCTGGCTGTTGGACGATGTCGTGGGTTTCAACCCTCACACCCACATCTGGGAGGAGCTGGCAGAGGCAGTCGTGACATCTCCCCCGCTCTCAATGTTATTTCCTCTGGGCGTTGCGTTGCGTGCGTGGGGAGTTCGGAGGAACGTGTCGCTTGTAAATTTCTGCTATTGCGGCAGGCCAGTTCGTTCCCATAATTCGGTGAAACAAAATATCTGGGGCATGTCACGTGCGGAAGAATATCTCACAATACTGCAAGAGGGGAGAAAAACACGTGAATGTGTTGTCTCGTGCGGTGCATTATTAGACAACTGACAAAAACGGGGACTTTTCATGTCCTGGGGAAGACAAACAGATTTCCCAGGAGAGCCACTTCAGAGAGAGGACGATCCTGGAAAAAACCAGGACAGGTGGCAACCCCTAGCTCTCGCCGAGTTGACTCTTCTGACTGTCGACGACACTAGCGTAGCACTCGAGTGTGCAGGCAGTGTGCAGGCAGTGTGCAGGCGGAGTGCAGGCGGAGTGCAGGCAGTGTGCAGGCAGTGCGCGGGCAGTGTGCAGGCAGAGTGCAGGCAGAGTGCAGGCAGAGTGCAGGCAGTGTGCAGGCAGAGTGCAGGCAGTGTGCAGGCAGAGTGCAGGCAGTGCGCAGGCAGAGTGCAGGCAGAGTGCAGGCAGTGTGCAGGCAGAGTGCAGGCAGAGTGCAGGCAGTGTGCAGGCAGAGTGCAGGCAGTGTGCAGGCAGTGCGCAGGCAGTGTGCAGGCAGTGTGCAGGCGGAGTGCAGGCAGTGTGCAGGCGGAGTGCAGGCAGTGTGCAGGCAGTTCGCAGGCAGTGTGCAGGCAGTGCGCAGGCAGAGTGCAGGCAGTGTGCAGGCAGAGTGCAGGCAGAGTGCAGGCAGTGTGCAGGCAGTGCGCAGGCATTGCGCAGGCAGTGTGCAGGTGGAGTGCAGGCAGAGTGCAGGCAGAGTGCAGGCAGTGCGCAGGCAGTGTGCAGGCAGAGTGCAGGTGGAGTGCAGGCAGAGTGCAGGCAGAGTGCAGGCAGAGTGCAGGCAGTGCGCAGGCAGTGCGCAGGCAGAGTGCAGGTGGAGTGCAGGCAGAGTGCAGGCAGAGTGCAGGCAGTGCGCAGGCAGTGTGCAGGCAGAGTGCAGGTGGAGTGCAGGCAGAGTGCAGGCAGAGTGCAGGCAGTGTGCAGGCAGAGTGCAGGCAGTGTGCAGGCAGTGTGCAGGCGGAGTGCAGGCAGAGTGCAGGCAGTGCGCAGGCAGTGCGCAGGCAGAGTGCAGGCAGAGTGCAGGCGGAGTGCAGGCAGAGTGCAGGCAGAGTGCAGGCAGAGTGCAGGTGGAGTGCAGGCAGAGTGCAGGCAGTGTGCAGGCAGTGTGCAGGCAGAGTGCAGGCAGTGTGCAGGCAGTGTGCAGGCAGTGTGCAGGCAGAGTGCAGGCAGAGTGCAGGCAGTGCACAGGCAGAGTGCAGGTGGAGTGCAGGCAGTGCGCAGGCAGAGTGCAGGCAGAGTGCAGGCAGAGTGCAGGCAGTGTGCAGGCAGTGCAACTGTTCCGGGGCCTATGGGTCGGAGTTCCACTGGCGCTGGGCTATGGGCACCGGTGTGGGGGAGACAGAGACCCTCGCGAGGTTCGTCACGGAAGGAGTTCAGCACGGCCTGTGCGTGGATCCATTTGTCCAGGGACAGGTAGAGGTGGCAAATCGTCACTGGGAGGGCACCGGGTGAGCTGACTGGGGGTTGCAGAGTCGCTGGTTGTTTGGTGGGGGGGGGGGGGGTAGGGGCTGGCGCGGTGGTGTGGCGTGGTTGGCATGGGCGCTGGTGCAGTTGCTCTACAGCTGGGCGGCTGGGCAGGTGTGGGCTGAAGGTGGGTGTAAATGTGGGTGTGAAGGTGGGTGTAAATGTGAGTCTGAAAGTGGGTGTAAATGTGAGTATTAGCGAGGGGGCGGAGAGGAAGGAGGGGGTGGGGGCTGATGGCACAAATTTCTGGCTTTGTACCACAATACAATGACACTTTTATTTAATTTTGTGATTGACTTAGATTATTCTTAAGCCTGGCTATGACCAAATCAGCCGGAAGGCGCAGGAGACCCCAGAAGATGTGTGGGCTCATTGGTGGACACTGATACGCAAGCGGTCTGCTAGATAGTGGGGGGCGGCCTCCCACCCGCCCCCCTGTGCAGCGCCTTGTAGGTGGGCAGCCAAAGATTGAACTCTGCCCCAAACCAATGTAGACGCATGATGTGGTCAAGCCTCTGACTGCTGCAGGTGGACTTCACAGTGGCGTTCGTGGCCGACTGCGGGCGATCGAGTCTGTGTAGAGATGCCCCGGCCAGAAGAGACTAGCAATGCTTGTTGCTGGCCGCTTGGCATTTCTGGACCCTTTGGGCCCTGTGCTCAGCAGCCGTGACCAAGAGAAAGAAAAAAATAAAAATAACAAAGAAATAAAAGAAAGCTCCACATGTGGACGATCAGCCTGCCTCTACTGATGTAAAATTCCCAGGTGCCGTTTAACTTTTCTTACTGCAGCCCGCAGCTGCGGTGGCGAGTGAGTTTGTCGTGTTTCTGCGTGGTGTGATATTTGTTTATTCTTTGTTACGTTGGGAACTGATTACGCCAGTCCACGCCACGCTGCGCTTGGCCTGCAGGTGCCCTGAGCCACTGAGAGCCGTTCCGTGACATTTCCGTTCTTGCCTCCCAGAAAGGGGCTTTTGTTTTTGTCGCGAGAAAAATGAAAGAGGCGAGAGAACTATGAGAAATATGTCGGCCCCTTAAGCAGGAGAGCCTCGCTGAATCCGAAGACTCTTATTCAGAAGAGTCCTGCTACATTGTTGACCAACACCAATGACATTAGCTATGCTAGGAAACCAGACAACCTGAAGCAAACCCATGCATAACAGGGGGAGAACATACATAGATAGATAGGTGCCCAAGTGAGGAATATAACCCAGTTATTTCTTGCTTTGAGGCACACGTGTTACCACTGTGCTTCCAAGCTATGTAACACCCAACGCTCTGCACAGATGGATCGCTCAACTGATTTTTTTCTTGCCACCTCTGAGCCTAAGCCTACAATGCCCGCTGTTTCCAGAGTCTCCCATCCAAGGACTAACCACGCTCGACTTCGCTAAGCTTCCGAGATCCAACAAGGCAGCTGTTTTGTGCATTACCTTGAGAACATGGTTTAATAATCAGCAGGTGATACCGGGATTCGCCACTGAAATTATATTAGTCCTAGTCACACGAACCCCTCCAGCAGGGGATTTTTAGTGACTGCTTCACTTGTATGTCCTGCAGGCTAAGCTTGGCTCTGGTACATATGTACTGAATTGAAAGTAAAATGGCAAGCGACTCCCCAACAATGAGTACACAATGTTTTGGTTCCCATTATTTTCATTTTTAATTCAAACAATTTGGTGATAAATGGTTTCAGTCGACATTGTTTACTCGAAGTGCCTTCTGTGCCAAAGTCACTCTCAGAAGGACGTTTGAGGGCCACTCACCTTGTCTCTGTTAAATGTTGTTGTTGATGTTGTTATTGTTGTCGTTGCAATTGTTTTTGTCAATTTGTAACTCCCCGCCGCTGGGCAAAGGCCTCCCACATTCCCCTTTCCCCAGCCGCTCCTGTCTGGTCGTGACCTCCGACCTCTGTGATGTCGTCTCG